TTTTTCTTTTTTTCCCTTCCGCTTTTTTCCCCCTTCCTTTTTTTCCCTTCCTTTTCCCTCCCTTCCTTTTTCCCTTCTTTTTTTTTTCCCTTTTTCTCTTCCTCTCTCTTTTTTCCTTCCTCTGACCCCGGAGCTCAGAACCGCTTGCTTATTTTTGAACTCAGTCTAGTATGCGGGTATTCCTGATAACTAGCTGATTATTCTTCAAAATTTTTTTTTCGATCTGCTTTATCAACTAAAACCTTAAGTCAAACTCGTAACCGCTAGAGCAAATTACAGACGAACAGGTGCCATACTGGCTCCAGTAATAGTAAAATGGAACAAAATCCGGAAATATGCGTTTTGAGGTTCCATGCAAGCACTCTATAACATTCACTTTCAACTGCGACACTTTTAACTTCACTTCTTTGTAAGTTACACCGGATGAACTGAAATGAATAAATTTTTTTGTGTTCTGATTGTTATCAAAAGCAAATCTTTTCGGCCATTCGTACTGAGTTTCGCTGTTGGTTCGTCAAGAAAAATCACGAAACACAGGAAAAAACAGTTGAAAAACTGTGACAAAATGGACTTTGTTTAATGTTTTATCATCAAAAAGTATGACTGAATTATGTTGTTGCCTCTGCAGACACTATTAAGTGAGAACTTTATGAAAATTCTGAATTTGCAAACGCGGAAGCAAGTGCACGTTTCGTGCCCAGATGGAGTATTTTCTGCGAACATTGATGAGCGCCGGAATGCGATAAACACTATATGCATTTTAGATGAGCACCGCAGAAAAGCAGCTTTAACGTGCCAAAGAATGGCGTATTCATTGCCAGAAACTTCCGTTGTGCCTCCACTTGAGCTTATCTCAACTAATCATCCTTATCCACTTGTGTTTAATGGGAAATCAGAGAAGTTCAAAGCGAAATGATTGGCTGAGAATTTTTCCTGAAGTCATCCTCAACAAATAACTTAGAATAATGCTACACAGTTTTTAGATGGCCTAAGACTCAGTCAGTTTGGCACCCATACTACTCGAAGTCTTTCCTGAAAGTTTTTTTATTGAAGTTGTAGCAGTAGCAAATATCACCTTTCTAATATTTTTACTTCATTTTATATCATACTTTGATGTTTCGATCAGCTTCATCCATCCGATGGTTTTTTAGTTATACAGTTGGCAACTTCACGAGTTGCTTTAACTATGCTGCATGGCCTGATGCCCAGCTTGCTGATGATCGTAACGTTTGTTGTCTTTTGAAGGAATGGTGCAGCGGCTCTTCCGGCAAAAGTACTTTGGCCATTCTTCAGCTGTTTCGAGATGCCACTGGCTTGTGTTAAGGGTCATCATCTCGAGTACCTTGCCAACTAGGAGATTATAATTGATTTCGTATTTAATGCAAATACTCATTATTGAGGCAAAATGCAAATTTACGCATAATCCTGGAGGGCAAAAATGTGAGGCTCTTAAAGAAAGTCTTTTTGCGCGTAGGAAAAAATGCAATTTCAGCTGCCATTAGATTGATCAGCAACCAACTGCGCTTTTCATCCCTGAATCTTTTCAGAAACAAATCAGTGAGAGGATGTGGCAAAGCAAATGCCATTTCAGGACACAAACAGTATCTGGAGGACAAAAGTCTTCTTCCACACATCCGGTTTATTTGCTGGGGTCACGAGATTATACACGAATGGAAGTGCAGTGCCCGTTTCGGATCACACTGCAACGAATTGCATCCAGTGAATTCGCCGAATATTTCTTCGACAAATTTGATAAAAATGGCTCCAGATTAGCCATGGTAATTTCTAAATCCATGCGAAGCTTTAGGAATGTGTGGAATCAGCTATAAAGAAGACAAAGAAAGAGTGCTAGGAAGTTGATAATCACTACTTATTTCCACATTATCTGCCGGACTCTAAATAGTGTACCCGATCCAATCAGTTACATAACTTCACTCACAAGCAACTTTCGTAAATATCAAAGCATGGCTAGTTGTTCGCTTCATT